GGACAGGCTGAGTTGCTGTTGTGGTGGTCTGGATATGTATCGTGGCGCTGAGCTTGGTGTTGTCGCCTTTGTCAGCATAACAGCTGGTGGAAACGGTGTAACTTGAATCACAAATAGGCTCCGAACCTTTCCAGATATGCACCACACACTATCACTTCGTACCGAACTTGCCACCGAGGGCAGTTGGAACCAATGGGGCAGGAAGGAGAGGGGGCGGGGAGGAGGGGATATGTGAATCGCGATTCAACGCTCCGCAGCCAAAAGTATCTCACCATCATCACGTCACTTGTGGCCACGTGATCCCGATCGCAACCCTCGGGTCACACGGTGGACGCTCACCGTCGTCCGATTCAATCACGATTTGGAGGGATGAGATTTGCCCGGGTAAAGCGGTGGAGTACGATGCTGTGGCACTCTAGAGCGGTTTCTCGCGCCAGCACGAATATTCATAGGTGACATGCATCACCCAATCCAATCCGTGCACCTCCAAACCAAACCGAAATGCATGCAACAGGCAGACAGCAAAGCAGCCCAGCCCGCCTGAACCGCAGCGGTCGTCAGAGTCATAGCCCTAGTTTTCCTGCCTGCACAATTACGAGTCACCCTCGCACCTCTTTCCACATCCTCGCCACCCACCCCATGGCGCGCACCTCGTTCCACTCGTCTCGTTCGCTCCTCTCCTCGCGTGCGCCGTACAGTCGCGCGGATGGCTGCGGCATCCGCCGTGCTGCTGTGTGAGGTACCGCCGAGCACCGTCAGCGCGCCGGGCAGCGCGGAGACAGAGCGCGCCGAGCTCCGCGACCTCATGTCGTCCCCCGCTCGCCCACCGTTCGACTCCTCTCCGCGTGTCGGCGCGGACAATCCTCCTGCATTGCGCGTGCCGTGCGCGCAGGAGCGGCAGGAGGCGCAGGAGCGGCTGGAGGCGTTGTGGCAGGAGGTGGAGGAGAGCGACAGCACGCGCGGCCTGCGGTCGCCCAGCGATGCGTCGCCCGCTGCGACCTCGTCGCCCCGCCGCCATGCCAGCGGCAGCTTCACCAATCGACGCGTTCGCTCGCTGTGGTCGGCGGGGTCGCCGCTCTCGTCGCCGCAGCACACGCGCAGCGCGCGTCACACGCGCCAGTGGTCGGCTGCGGCCGTGCCCTTCTCCTTCTCCTTTTCCCCGCTCCACCCCTCCGCGCTCCCTGCGGACGCCCAGTCGTCGCCGCGGCATCCGCTCACCCCCACGGCGGACGGCAAGGCGCAGGCGCACGGGGACGGGGAGGAACGAGGGGAAGCGGAGCGAGCGGCGGGGCATAAGCCGTCCAAGTCGGCGGGGTCGCTGCCGTTCCTCCAGTTGGGGCAGTGGTCGCGCTCCTCCCCCAACCTCCGCTCCCCCATCAGCCCCCCCGCCGCTCCCACCTCCCCGTCGGATACCGCCTGGTCGCTTCCCGGCTTCGCCAAGTCGGTAACCCTTCGCTCTTCGCCCAGGTCCTCCACTTCGCCCAGAGCCGCCACTTCGCCCAGAGCCGCCACTTCGCCCAGAGCCGCCGCAGCGTCGGTGGCGCGCGCTGTATCGGCGACGAGCGCCGAGGCGCCGGGTATTCTGGAGAGCCGCACCTTCGACCCAATCGCGTCGCCCCTCGCCGCCGCCCCGCCAGCGTCGCTCTCCGACGCGCGCAGGTCAGCGGAAGCGGAGGTTGTGGGTGGCGGTAGGAGCAGCCCGTTGCGAGGCGGCGGATGGCGCAAGACCGCGGTGGGCGGCCGGCGCAGCGAGGGCGGAAGAGAGCCGACAGTGACCGCTGAGATGGGGGAGGGCGCGGGGGAGAGGGCGAGTGCAGGGGAGGAGGACAAGGGGTGGGCGGCCGGCAGTGGGCGGAGCAGCAGATGGCGCGCCAAGGCAGCCCTGCCGCAGCTGAACGTGCGCCGCAACTCCGTGGACAGCCCGCAGCCCAGCCCGCAGCAGAGCGCACAGCAGCAGGCGCTCAAAGTGCTGCACCAGCGATGCCCGCCCCTGTCGCCCTCCACCTCCCCACTCGCCTCCCCCAAACCCTCCCCGACCGCCTCTTCTACCGACCCCGCAGCAGCAGCATCCGCCAAGTCGCTCCTGCGGTCGCCGCGCTCCCCCTGTGCGGCGGCAGCAGCAGCAGCAGCAGCAGCGTCGCCGCGGTCGCTGGTGGTGGTGGTGCGGAGCTTTGTGGAGCACCGCAGGCGAGTGGCGGAGGCGGAACAGAGAGAGGCGGCGGAGCTGGGGGAGGTGGCGGTGGCAGGGCGCGCGGACCCGGGGAACGGGGGGCAGGAGGGCAGGCGGGGAGGCGTGAGTTGGAATGGGGCAGTGCAGAGCTTGGACGCGGCGGTAGCAGCAGGGGGTGCAGTGGGGGAGGCAGAAAGGGGTTCAGGGATCCAGCAGGGGAGCGGCAGGGTCGCGGAAAGGTTGGCGCCTGCCATGGCGGGCACAGAGGGCGTGCAGTTCGGGGAAGAGCGGATGCACGCGGGCACGACACAGGCCGGCATCGTGGGCGATCCACAGTGCAGGGGCGGAGGGGACATGCGCGGTGGTGGTGAGGGCGAGCAGGTGCGCGTGCAGGCGACGGTGGGAGGTGGCAGTCCGCCAGCGAGCAGGGCGGGTGGGAGAGGGGCAGGTGGGCACGGGGAGCGAGGCAGGGAGGAGGAGCAGGTCAGAGCGGTTCTAAGTGCGAGGCAGCAGCAGCGAGCGCAGTGGCTGCAGCAGCAGGAGTGGCAAGAGCAGGAGGGGAGGCAGCGAAGCAGATCCAAGGAAGGTGCCACGGTACAGTGGGCGCCCCTCCCCACCACCACCCACTCCCCCCCCGTTCCCCGCCAAGCTTCCGCCCCTCCCCGCCCCGTGCTTCCCCTCCATTCCGATGGGGCCCTCTCCCCCCACCGCCCTCTCACGGCAACGCCCTGCCCTGCGCCCAGAGACCTCTACCCTGCATCCCAGCAGGCGTGGCTCGCAGCGGATGCTGGCACGGCGGGGCACAGGCAGGAGGAGGAGGCGAGGCAGGAGAGGCGGGGCGAGTGGGGCCATGGTGATGATGCAGGCGGCGCGCACGCCATGTCTGCCAGCTTCCACAGCCGCTCCTCTCCGCCGTCCAAGCCACCTCAAAGCCCCCGACCTGCTCTGAGCCCCAAGCCACGCTCACACGCACCACGCAACTCTGTGAGCCTTGGCAGCCTTGGGTCCCCTCGGGGCAGTGCCCCGCCCCACAGCCTTGACCCTGCCCATCACCCTGCTGCCAGCCCCTCCCACCCCCTCCGCTCCAACCCCGTGGTCCCTCCACTCTCTCTCGCCCCGCCCCTCGCCCCTTGCCACTCGCAACACAGCCCCCTGAACAGCCCCCTGGGCAGTCCTTTGAGCAGCCCGCGCGGTGCGGTCAGTCGCAGCAACTCAGCACGCACCCGACCGACCCTGCCAAGTCCCCACTCCCAGCTGTCACCGCGTAGCAACCACATGCCGCCGCCCACTGTGTTCTCTTCCCCTATTGGAAACTGTGAGGCGCAGCAGACAGCGCGTGGCAGTGAGGGCGTGGCACCGCTGCTGCCAGTGGGCAGCAGCCACGGCACGGCATGCAGCCCTCGGGCGCCCAGCAGCCCTGCTCCCTCTCCCAGCCCACGCGCACAGGGCAGGCATGTGAAGAGTGGCAGCATAGACAGCATGAGCGCAGCGCTGAGTGCCCCCAGCAGCCCACTGGGCAGCCGAGCACCTGATGCCTCGGCCTTGCGTGCACAGGGAGGCCCAGGGAGCAGAGCGCTCGCCCCGGGGCAATCATCCTCGCGCTCTCCCAGGCACTTCAGCAGCTGCCATGCTGCCGTTGGCCCTACCACGGGAGGCAGAGCTGGGGTTGGGCAGAGTGGCAGTGGGGCAAGAAGTGGTGCGATGGTTGGGGCAGCGGATTATGGCAGCGGTGGTGGTGGGCAGCAGGCTGGGGGGCGTCATGGTGGGAATGGGGCAGTGGAGCGTGTGAGCGAGCAGCACCACAGCCACCACATGCACCCTACTGCAACCACCCTGTCGCCTCAATCTGACGTGCCTCAGGCCATAAAGAGGCGCCACACGTATGCTTCCACCCCCACCCTTGCCATCCCTCTGCCCCTGCCCCAGCTTGGCCCTAATGGCTGCCCTCCCCCTCTTAGCCCCACGCTGAGCAGGGCAGCAGGCAGCAGCAAGGGCAGCAGGAAAGGGGACAGGAGGCAGGGGAGGCAGAGGGGAACTGGTGTGGGCAAAGAGGAGGGCGTTGTTGACGACGTTACGGCTGCTGCAGCTGCTGTTGCTGTTCCCAGTGAAGAGCAGAGGGTTGAAGGGACAGCGGATGCCAGGCGCAGGTGAGAGCAGGGGTCTGGTGCTTGCCATTCGCTTTGCCTTGTCGCCATCGCATTTGCTACTGTCATCTCTCTGCCTCCATTGATACCGTCGGGTATGCTTGGTGCAAGGATGGTCATCACTGAGTCTTGACTCTCCTCGTGTGTGTGTGTGTGTGAGCAGGTTTCGAAGATAGCTGTCCTTAAGTGGGTACTTGAGCAGCGGGTAGGCTTGAGGTGCGCCAAGGCATGTCAAGGCACCCACCCACTAGGATTTGCTCGTAGTAGGCTGCTCTGGGGCTGCCAGGCACAGCATGACTTGTTAGTTAGCACCTCTCGTAGTGACGAGGCCGCGCTGGGCAAAGTGAAGTGAAGTGATGCATTTATAGTATCACTTATAGTGTGTGTTGACATGCCATTCAGCAAGGACTGCTGCAAGGGACATGTAAAGGGTTAGCTAGCTCACATCTTGTTTCAACATCCCCAGAGACCCAGAGATTGCATTTCTCCTCGATCCGTCACACCTGCAGTGAATTGCAACGGATGCCATTACATTGCGCTGATTCATTCTGAAGCTCCTGATGGAGCGTGCACATGCAAGGAGCTGCATACACAAGTTCCAACACATGTGAATGCATTGTATTAAATGCTGCTGCCAGTTGTGTTTGACTCACGCCTGATGATGCCAGGAGCAAACACGCGTGGCACTACCGGTAGTGGTGTGGGGTTGGCTGTCTGAGCAGCCCCAGTTCATTGCCTATGAGTCGGAATATGATGGCACACAGGTTGGACAGATCCGCATCTCTGCAACGGCCATACAGGGGGGCATGGGAAACGTGACAGGGGGGTACAATAGTCAAAAGGGAACATGGGAGCATGGGATGGGTATGGGAGCATGGAAATGTGTAGGAACAATCGGGAAATTGTCTGGGAGCATGAGGAAAGGGTTTGGGTAAGATGGGGAGGGGAGTGAGGTGGGTGGAGCACAGGTGAGGCAGAAAAGCAGCACGGAGCAAAAGCACAGGAGATACTGCTACAGCTGCTACTTATACACAAACACAGAGGGTTCTGTGAGGTTTTCGAGTTTAAGGGGGGGGGGGGGGGGACACGGGACGGGAGAAGTGTGGAATGTGTACCGGAGGAAGACGAGGTCGCAGAGGGGCGAGTAGAGCAGCAGCAGGTGCGCTCGCTGCCACCCCAGCTGCCGCCCCTCGCTGTCCACAAACCTCCGCGCTGCGCTTTCCCGCTCCCATGGCCGCTCCAGCTCACCCCTGGTGAGCGTGTCCCCGGCTGCTGCTGCCTGCGCCGTGGTGTGCGCCTCCGCACTGGCTTTGGGCGCGATGGGCACGTCCACTGCAGCAGCGACGAGGGGGTGCAGCACGAGGCGCACCAACTCCTGCAGCAGCAGCAGCATCTCCGCCAGCCGCACTGCCGGCATGGCTGCTGACCCTGCCCTCCCACACACGGGGACAAGGCACAAGGGGCAGGCAGGGAGAATATGGTCGAGAAGGCAGGGCAGAGGGAGAGGTGGCAATGGGAGGCAGTGAGGGAATGCAGAGACGCATCCAAGCAGCGAAGCAGATGAGGCAAGTCCGTAAATATGCTTGCAGCCCTGTGTGCTACTCCTGTGCAGCGATCAACTGGTGAGGCAGGTGCAAGTGCGAACTCCACCTGCTTGCAAGGAGTCGGCGGTAAAGCGGTGCAGAATGGCATGGCAGCGCGCCACGAGGCGAGGCAGCACCAGCCGCCCCACCGCCACCGACGACGATGCCACCGTGTCCTCTGGGCGGCCTTGCCTGGCCCACATGCATGCAGGCGCCGTGCAGGAAACGAGGGGTGGGGGGAGGGCACGTGCCACAACATCAGTTGAGGGGTGAACGTAGCATGTGATGCACGTGCGCATTGTCAGGGCGGCCATGCGATGAATGCATCCAGAGAGATGAATGAGTTGAGTGCAGTGAGAGCATGGGTATGTGGTTAGTGCATTGAGGGAGAAGCCATGAGTCGAGCACATTGGCAGGCAAAAAAGGGTGGCGGCGAGCAACAAGGCGGCGAGGCACCCACCCGGCGAGCATGAAGAGGCGGGAGAGGCAGGCGAGGGAGAAGCGCGCGCAGTGGGTTGGCAGCGCTGCCGCAGCAGCCAGGGGCAATGCACTGGTGCGTGCAGCACACGCATCCAGCACTGCCACCAGCCGCTCCCTCTCCTGCACGGTTCAGATCAGAGGGGTCACGTGGGAGATAGAGCAGCAGAGGTGCAGGGGTGTTGCTGCACGTGGAGAAGATGCGAAGAGACGGAAGGTGGAGAGAGAAGGATGACAGGGAAATGGTGCATTGACAGATGAAATGACTTTGCTTGATAAATACACACCAGTGCAGTGCAGTGGGCACCTTATGGGGGGCGTCATGGCAGTGGGCACCTTGTGGGGGGCGTCATGGCAGTGGGTGAGCACGCGGGTGCAGAGGGTGTCAAGGAAGAGCGCCTCCAGCATCTCATCAGCCTCCACCACCTCGCGAGTAAGCAGCTCCGACACTCCCCGTGTCGACCCCGCCTCCCCCGCCCACCCACTGCTGCCCGCGCCTCCTCCGCCCCTCCCCTCGCTGCCTGTGCCCCAGTCACTGCTCTCTGCCTCCCCCACCCCCCTCCCAGCAGGCACGGATGCTCCCCCGGCCTCTGGTGCCCGCCCTGCCCCGCTGCCACCGCCGCTGCCAGGAGCGGCTCTTCTCCTTGGACTGCCCCCTGCGCCCTCCCCTCGCCCCACTCTGGGGGAGCGTCGGGGGGAATGGCCTGGGGGTGGTGCTGGCGAGGGCTGGGGCGCCGGGGAGGGAAGGTCTGGCAGCAGGGCGGTGCCGCATGTGCCCAGCACGAACTGCTCCACCACCGCCGCCAGCTCCTGCCACATGCGTTGCCGTGCCCTCCCCCCCTCACTGCTGCCGCCCACTGCACCGTTGCCCTCCTTGGCAACTTCCTTACGTGCCTCATGCTGGTGCTTGGTGTGGTGGTGTGTGGAAGAGGCATGCTTGGGCGAGGATGGGTGTGCAGGAGACTGAGGGTCTGAAGGGGAGATATGATTGGCGTGTGCTGTGAGAGGGGGGTCAGGCGGGAGGGCGTGTTTGAGGATGTCTGAGAGCGTGGCCACGGCCGTGCGCCACAGCTGAAGGTCAGGCGAGGTGCGGCGGATGAGCATACACCTGTGCCGCGCAAGGGTGCAGCGGGGAGAACATGGTGGGAAGAACGTGGTGGGGAGAAGCACGTGGTAAGCACGACGAGTGAATGAGAATGAAACGAATGGATAAGCAGAGATAACGAGGGCGCATCTGTTCCAACGATTGTCAGCACAAGCGGCTGTAACTGTGTGACGGTCTCAATTCCAGCGCCCACTCGCGCCCACCCCTTGCTGCACGGCACGCACGCCCACGTCACCTGCCGAGAGCAGCAACGAGGTCGGGCAGGACGGTGTCTCGGGCCTCTGGGGGCGCGTTGAGGAAGAGCTCGAGCAGCAGCGCCACCACGCGGTCCTGCAGTGCGGGTGAGAGGGCGCCGGGCGCCGTGACGGGGTAGCTGAGCATGAACGACCCCGTGGGGTTGCCTGATGTCGGCACGTACACCGCTGCCGGCGCAAACAGTTGAACTTTGCCGCCCAGCGAAAGGCCGAATGATGTCGTCCGGCTGCTACTGCCATTGTTGGCAGTTTGTGTGGCACCTTCCACGCCTCCTCCTTGACTACCGATTTCCTCGCTGCCTGCTCCGCTCTCATCCCCACCATCGTCTCCTCCTCCCCTTCCTCTCCCTTCATCAGCACCGCTGCCCCCTTTCGTGCCGTCAATACCCCCTGCAGCGCCAGCAAGGGCAACCTTGGGGGCGTGGCGTTGCGTGGCCTCGGACAGGAAGCGCGGCGGCACGCGGCAGTGCGGACAGAGCAGGCGGTCCCCACCAGGTAGGTACGCCAGCAGCTGCTGCAGCAGCGCGGGCCACAGATGTGCGTGTGCCGAGGGCTGCAGGCGCGGCAGCACCTCCAGCACCGTGCGCTGCACCTGGGGCAGCGTGCCCTGGCCGCACCCATGGCATGGCCGCATGCAGGGGGGGGTTGTGGGAAAGGAGGTGAAGACGAGTGCAGTGAGCAGCAGCAAATTGGAAGGGAACGTGCAGCATGGAGCAGATGCGGATGTCAAAAGAACGAACGACGCTGACACCAATATGAGGTTGGTGGTGGGCACATGCATGTTAGTCAAAAGCACAGGCGGGTGTCAAGACAGCATGGAGGGCAGAGGGGGCATGCAGGGCGTACGGCGAGGGGAGGGGGTTCAGAGGGCAGCACGGGGCAGCGCGCCATGACGTCAACGCAGGCGAGCAGGCGCAGGTAGTCGCTGTCCTCAAAGGCGAGGCCCGCCGTGCTGTACACCTCGCCCAGGTCCTCCACCAGCTTCTGCCGCGTGCGCACCGCCACTGCGGACGCGGGAGCGGTGCTGTCACGCAGCAGCAGCTCATACGCATCCATGCTGCTGTCCCAGTAGTGCCGCGGGATGCTGCCCTGCCTCCATGACACGTGGGGGACGGGTGGGAGGGGTGGGGTCACACATGCAGCAAACTCAGGCATGCAGCAAGGTGCGGCTGGTGGGGCAAGGCAGCAGTGTAAGATCAGCATGGATGGTGGTGGGATGCATAGCCATGTCGCACATAGCCATGTCGCACATAGCCATGTCGCACATAGCATAGTGTGAGCATGATGCTCACCTTGGTGGCATGTGTGAGAATGATGCTCACCTTGGTGGCATGTGTGAGAATGATGCTCACCTTGGTGGCATGTGTGAGAATGATGCTCACCTTGGTGGCATGTGTGAGAATGATGCTCACCTTGGTGGCATGTGTGAGAATGATGCTCACCTTGGTGGCATGTGTGAGAATGATGCTCACCTTGGTGGCATGTGTGAGAATGATGCTCACCTTGGTGGCATGTGTGAGAATGATGCTCACCTTGGTGGCATGTGTGAGAATGATGCTCACCTTGGTGGCATGTGTGAGAATGATGCTCACCTTGGTGGCATGTGTGAGAATGATGCTCACCTTGGTGGCATGTGTGAGAATGATGCTCACCTTGGTGGCATGTGTGAGAATGATGCTCACCTTGGTGGCATGTGTGAGAATGATGCTCACCTTGGTGGCATGTGTGAGCATGATGTTCACCTTGGTGGCATGTGTGAGCATGATGCTCACCTTGGTGGCATGTGTGAGCATGATGGTCTGCAGAGTGCTGGCAGCAGCAGAACTGACTTCTCTACTGCCGGTAAGCACGCCCTCCTCCACGAACTGCAGCAGTGCACCCCACACTGCCTCCACCATGGCAACGAGTGGGAGAATGGGCATGGGGAGACGGTTTGGAAGGAGCAATGGGAAAGCTGGTGGAGAAGAGGAATGAAAATAAATCAGTTGGAATGAAAGCGGCGGCCTCGCTTACTGGTCTCACAAAGGAGGGGCGGGGGCACAAGGAACAGCTTTGCATGCAGTGCCAAGCCAACTACTGATGCATGTGCACCTTCCCGGAAATTGTCCATGGTATGCAGCAGTGAGAAGAAGGCGCGGATGAGGCGGGCGAGTCCATTGAGAGCCATGACGAGCGTCTCGTCCCACTGCTTCTGCGCCGTGTTGCGGCTGTGGTGCACCAGCATCATCACACTCCTCCCCCCCTGCCGCCCTATCTCCATCCCCGGCGCCTCGTCTCTCGATGCCGTGGCTGCCTGCAGGGCAGATGAGACGAGAAAAGGGCTAAGTGAGAGCAAAGCATGTGGGCAACTGCTGCGACACTGACAGGCATGTGGCTGCAGCTGTGTTGCACTGTGATAGAGACTGCCTTGGTTGATGTTGCTTGGGGCTGACTGTATTCATAAGCCGACCACCACTCACTAATAAGGGAGTGCAGGGACTCACAAGGGCGCGCAGGGACTCACAAGGGAGCGCACGGAGTCGATGAGGGGGAAGATGAGGTCCCAGAGGCAGTGGCGCCACGAGGCGGGCGGCAGCTTGGCGCCGTGGCTGACCACCGTCTGGAACAGCGTGCGCATGGCCGCGTTGCGCACCTCCGGCCGCCCGTCCTTGGCGCGCGTCTCCATCACACACAGCACCGCCAGCAGCAGTGCGCTGCTCCGCTCGTCCAGCATCCTCCCGCTGCCGGATCCCCTCCCCTGCGCTCCCCCCACATCCGTTCCTTCAGCCCCCTCTCCCCGTTTGGCCCCCCCTGCATCTGTGTGAGCTGGTTTTCTGTGGATCCTAGTGAAGGTGGAGGGCGTGGCTGACGCTGGCAGCTTCAGTGCCGATGCTCCCGCTGCTGGTGCCGTCGATGGAAGCGATGTGGCAGCGGAGGCGGAGGAGAGAGGGGGCGCTGCAGAGGATGTCGAGGAGGAGGCGGGGAGATCGCACTGGTTGAGTAGCGTGGAAACTGGAGAAGTGGGGGGTTGGGAAGAGTAAAAGAAAGCGTGAGGGAAGCTGGGAGCACTATATATATAAGTGAGGGAGAAGCCTCTGCTTTGTCACAAAGTAGTGGCTCCTTTCAGGTTCAGATGGTGCAAGCCTCAAAGCTCGGAAGAGACTCGTCTAGGGATGAAGGGCTAACTCCTAGGCATGGACGCTGGCAACCTGAGAAGACGGTATATTATGAGGCCCAGAACAGAGTCAGGTCAGGCATGTAACAGTGAGGCCAACGGCCTGGGAAAAAAGAAAAAGAAAGTCCAGGTAAGTCATAGTGCAGTGTGGTCTCACAGGTGGCAGTGCGGTGTGTGGTGGTGGCATGGTCGAGGCCACGAGCAAAGAAGTCAGCCATGGTCCAGAGCAGCCCCACGGACGTGAGAGATATGTTCACATCCGCCACTTGCCCCGCAAACGCCCCCACCACCTCCACACACCTGGTGCGCAGCGACGGGGGGGATTGGAAGGAGGGGCATCATATATTCTGCAAGATATAAGTGGTCGTGGGTGGGCAGAACAGGTGCAATCCAATCATGGGCAGCACTGCAGTGGAGCACATCCGGCAAAGGGGGTCTGTTGCAGCATGGGCCAGCGGTGTGATGCATTGGTTGAGGTTGAGAGCGCACAAGAGAGGCATCCAGGATGTGGCATGGCAAGTGAAGAGGCATGGGGACAAAAGAGTGTGAGATGTGGATGACAGGCATGTGGATGTTGTAAGACAGCGTGTCATGTCATGTACGCTGTGTTAAAGTGGCATTGCACGATGTTGTGTTGGAGACTGACAATTGAAGGGTGTGTGGCGGAATGGAGGAGAGGCAGTCGTTGACCACCACCAGCTCACTCTGCACGCCACACAAGCAGTCAGGGGCACACAATTATGCAACCTTCAAGTGCCTGCTCCACACCCAGCGTAACTCAGCTTGTAGATAGCCAAAGTGGCAGCATCCATGGACAGTGGGCCCAGCAAAGCAAGGAAGGAGGGGGAACACATGAGCAGCAGAGCCCACCTGGAAGGCCAGGCCCACGAGGTCCTTGTCATTCGTTGCTGCTACCATCCTGTGTATGCATGGCATCGCATTGGCATGGCATGGCATGGCACGGTGTGGAATGGAACGTTGTGGGAAGGGTTGTCATAATAGCATGAATAGCGCTGGCAAATGACAGTTGAAGATTGAACAACAATAGTTGCTGACAACACTGTCAGCTCATCAGTTGTCCCCAGCAGCAACAGCACTGTGTGACCCCAGCAGCAACACTGCGTGGCCCCAGCAGGAATGTCCACCTTAGGAGGTTGAGAAGAGTGGGCCAGGTGGAGTGCAGCTTCTCGCCATGGCGCTGCAGACAGGCAGGCAGGAAGAAAACGGAAATGATCACATGAGAGGGATGACACACAAGGCATCAGTGATAGACACAGAGAGTCGGGAGAAAGAGAACAAGAGCCCACCGCAGCTGCACGCTTTTGCTCCAGCACAGCCAGGCAAGTGGAGGAGCGATCCACCCCTGAGCCAGCACAGGCCTGTGCCTCATCCCCCTGGGCGACGTGCTAGTGGACCACGAAACGCATGGCTTGAACACGCGACCACCAACAACAACCTCAAACCCGCGGCTCTGCGGTTTCAGGTTTAAGATTAGCTGCCAGCCGTCCCTAATGAACTATCGGTGGTGATGCTCCTTGCCTAGCTAGCCACCTTTGTTGTATGCCACAGTTTTCCCTTCACCCTTTCCCCCTCAACTCATCAAACTTGCCACACCCCCACCTGTTCCAGGCCATCTCTGCCCATCACAGCAGTAGGGTTGGAATGAGAGAGGAAGAGCACAGCTGTGAAATGTGCTCTGTGAAATCGGTTACAGGTATGCCCTGGACTCACCTCCAGCATGTGCAGCAGGATGCGCAGTGCGCCTGCCTTCACCTCTGCATCACGCCCATCGCGCCACAGGAAGCTCACAGCGCCCACCACCATCTCCTCCAGCGCCACCTCTCCCCGCCCCTCCCCCTCGCCCTCCCCCTTCTGCCCCTCCCTCTCCTCTCCTCCCTCCCCTCCCTCTGTCCGACAAGCCCCTTCTCCCTTCTGCTCCTCGGTCGGTGTGGCAGAGGTGAGGGCGGAGGAGGAGGAGGTGGACGAGCGGCGGTGCAGGGGGGGCGAGGCGAGGGCGGCCATGACGGCGCGGTCGATGGCGTCCACCGCCACCGCCCGCACGCCAGCGCTCTCGTGCACCGCCAGCTGTGCACACACACACACACACACACACACACACACACACACACACACACACACACACACACACACACACACGTGAGAGGGGACGGCCGGGAGACAGAATCGGTTCAGGGGAAGAGCTGTGATATGAACAAAAAGGTGGACACTTAAGCTGGTCGAGAAGACTTGATTAAGGGGAGGGTGTGCGTCAAAGAGAACAAGTATTTATGTGAGTTGGAAGCGGTGCATACCTCCAGCAGGTGCAGCAGGATGGCATCCCATATAAGGTCCATTCCTGTAACGAATGAGGCGCAAGCGGGCACGGTGCAATGCAGGATCATACAGCCAGAGTGATGCGATCATGAACCACAGTGACCCTCGACTGTGAGATGAACACAATACTTGTGTAATCCAACCATGAACCACACTGTGCTTCTGAACGGAGCAGGACTCACGGTGCATGTTGTGGGAGAGCACGGACAGCATGCGCTCCACCGCAAACATCTTGAGCGTCGACGGCAGCGCACCCGTGCTCAGAGGCGACGCCACCGCCGCAGCAGCAGCAGACGTGCCAGCGGCGGCAGCAGCAGCGGAGGACCCCGAGGCAGCGATGCCGAGGCCGGTGGTGACGGAGTGCAGCGCGCGGTTGGACACCACCCGCAGGGCCGCCAGCAGGGCCAGCACGGCCGCTGTGTCCATGTGGGCCGTGCTCTGGAACAGCTGGTGGCGGGCAGTGTCGCGGTGGTGCCATGACGGCATGGGTGGATGGGGTGGCAACAAGTGAACTCACTGACTAATGGCTGGCATGCAAGTAAACGTACGTGAGCAGTAACGGTGGCACGTTAAGGACGTGGTGGCAAGGATACGTACCTGTGCATCGAGGGTGGCGAGCACGGAGAAGTCGGACTGCAGTGAGGAGGGCGCGCCTGTGAGCTCCTTGGACCCGCGCGACCCTGCTGATGGCGTTGATGCTGATGCTGATACGTCCTGCATACCACCACACCACGCACATGCACGTCTGGTGGCATCACATCACTGCATGCATACTGGAGTGGTACCTCACCTTCCATACTGATGCCACATGGACACTCCTGAAAATACAGGCAGTGCAGCAATGCCCTTCACCTCATAACGTGCACAACATTCACAGCACTACATGCCTGCCATGCTGCATGCCAGGCCATGCTACATCCGTGGTCATGCTACATGCCAGGCCATGCTACATCCGTGGTCATGTTACATGCCTGGCCATGCTACATCCATGTTCATGTTACATGCCTGGCCATGCTACATCCGTGGTCATGTTACATGCCTGGCCATGCTACATCCGTGGTCATGTTACATGCCTGGCCACGCTACATCCGTGGTCATGTTACATGCCTGGCCATGCTACATCCGTGGTCATGTTACATGCCTGGCCATGCTACATCCGTGGTCATGTTACATGGCTGGCCATGCGACATCCGTGGTCATGCTACATGGCTGGCCATGCAACATCCGTGGTCATGCTACATGCCTGGCCATGCGACATCCGTGGTCATGTTACATGCCTGGCCATGCTACATCCGTGGTCATGTTACATGCCTGGCCATGCGACATCCGTAGTCATGTTACATGCCTGGCCATGCTACATCCGTGGTCATGTTACATGCCTGGCCATGCGACATCCGTGGTCATGTTACATGCCTGGCTGGTGGCATATGGCGAATGGATGGTGCGGTCGAGGGCAGCCAGAGTCTCCATCACCTGGTATGAGGGGCAACATGATACGTGACGCACAGGGCACGGGGGCATAACATGGCAAGGAGCACAAGTCGGCTTTGATAGAACATGCCATGGTGGAACATGTCATGCGTAACTGGGCGAATATAGAGTGGGCACAACACTAGGCACAGGTCGATGGTGCAAGCTGGAAATGGGCACACACCAGTTCCCAGGACGGTCCAAGCACGGCGCAGAGGCGGTGGGAGACATTGAAGAGCGTGCGCAGGGCGTGCATGTTCTTGGGTGTGAGCACGGGCACGCCCTGCCCCAGGGCGGCAGCAGAGGCGGCAGCAGCGGAGCCCATGGTGGAGGCGAGCAGGTCCCCCCGTGACTCCGTGCCCAGCAGTGCATCCAGCGACCTCATGGGCGACAAGTACGCACTGCATGCACATACCACCAAGTCAACGTCCTTTCATGAACCGTGAAGAGTGTAAGGCTCAAATGATACAGAATCACATTGAAATTTGTGGCATTTGCAGAGGCGTTTGGTGGTGATGCGCGAGGGTGTTATGGAGTGATGGTGTAGTGGCCCTGATGTGCAACGGAGAGAGAGGAGTGCATGGGATGAGCATGGCAACCGAGTGCACTTACCTTGACGGGGAGGAGGGCATTTGGAAGCGGTCGGAGTCAAAGGGCTGGCCGGGTGGCGCCATGGTGCTCATGGATGGCGAGGCCACGAGGGTGAAGCGACACAGCGATGCCAGGAACTCGTCCCGCGGGTCCACCAGGTCCAGCGCGCCACATGCCTGGTGGCCACAGAAATGAGGGTGGTTGGGGCATGCGGAGGAAGAGGAAGTGAGTGCACGGAGCAAGGCAACAAAGAGGCAGTGTCTGGCCAGGAAACTATAGCATCAGCAACCACCTGGTGCATCCTCACCTCACCTGGGTAGAAGCTACAGATGCCCTCATCTTACCTTGTTAAAAGCGTCACATGCCCTCACCTCATCTCATCTCACCTGGGTGAACGCCTGGTATGCCCTAAGAATCTCCAGAATGACAGCCTCACCCTGTGACCTGCAGATACAGGGGGGAAACAGATGAACAGAGTAGCTTACATGGATGGGCCATGCATTGAGCAACCGCCTACACAACTGGGCATAGATAAGCGAAATACTTGGTGCATTCGAAAATGGTGGCGTGCGCATAGATAGCGTGTGCTCAATTGGTGTGTGCCTGTAAGCAGCTCTGTGTTTGTGAGTGGGCAGGGAAGGGCACAGACCGGGCAAGAATGATGGAGAGAGCATCGAGGACGGTCTTCCACACGGCATCCACCATGCGCACACACAGCTCCTCCAGTGCTCCGCGCACCCGCCCCTCTGCACTGCCGCCCCTGCTCTCCGCATCCTCATCATCCTGAGCTCCTTTCTTCACCCACTCGCTCCCATCGCCCTCCTCCTGCATGCCGCCCAGCAGGGCCAGCAGGCCGCGAGTGAGCCCTGGGGAGGGCGCATGGGAGTCGGACTCAGCCAGCAAGGCAGCGTGCTTGCCTGGCACCCGTGGGGAGGGAGGGCTTACAGGTGATGCCCCCTCCTCGCCCTGGCGCCCACCAACCCCTGAAGCACCGTCTGTTGCAGCAGCCCCACCGCCCTGGGCAACGGCCTGAGCATCAGGTTGCTTGCGCGGTGCGAGAGGGGACTTGGGAGGTGAGGCGGAATACGGGTGTGAGTCATCCATGGCCTCGTCGGTGAGCAGAGCGATGGTGAAGACGATGCCCAGCAGCCCCTCCACCGCCAGCGTTATGGCGTGCGCCTCACTCGCCGCCACCACTGCGTTGCCCGCCCAGTCAAAGTCCATTGACCACTCCACCCCTGCTGCCCCCAACCACAAGGCACACAGACATGCATTACCAAGCTAGCCTGCTGACAGGGGGAGACGATGCAACGGCGAAGAGCAAAGGGAGAATCACCTCTGGCCTTGCTGCTGAACATGCCGGCAACTGCAGCTAGACTCTCCTCACTGGATTCTGGCACCTGTGACGCATGAGACAAACAAATGCACATGAATGCACGCGCACACCAAAGTGCAAGCACACATGCATACATGTATATGCACACACGCACGTGCGCGCGCACACACACACATACACGCACACACAACACACACACAGACACACACACACACACACACACACACACACACACACACACATACATGAGGAAATAAGGAGGGGCGAGGATTGGAGTGTTCATGACAATGAGAGAAAAAGGAGAGTCATTGTGGGAAGTTTCACAACGAGGTGGGGATGATGGTCATAGGGGAAGAAGTTGGTTGTGATGTGCTGCTGAGACCATGTCAGCATGGTGGCACATGTGTGTGGTGACAATGGGTGTTATCAACGACCGAGTGCATGAGGGCAGCAGCGCAGCAGCAGACCTGCACGCTCTGCACCACGTGGGCCAGCGCCACTGCCATCTCCTCCACTATGCTGCTGTTGCCCGGCTGCCTGACACACACGCAACAGCCACGCTCAGGGGGGGAAGAGCAAAGGAAGTGGACGTTCGCAGAGAAAACGACGGAAACAAGAATTCCAGAAGTTGAATGTGCTGTTTGAAGTACTTCCAGGAGTGCGCAGAAGTCTACCTCGCCCAGAATAACTATAATCAGAGATCATTTAATCCTTCAGTAGTTACATTTTTAAGCGACCGTGAACACTAAATCTGATGATATGCTGACACAAGTACCACTGGCACGCATGAACCTGCCGGGAACCTGCTCTTACACGCCAAACAATGAGCTTTTCGCATCACAAGGTGAAATTCCTCATGTACGGAACAGGGTGAGAGCACTCACATGTCAAACAGGTTGAATATGAGTTGAAGGGTCCCTGGCTCCACGCAGAAGCCCTGCATGCAGATGAGCGCACGCACGCGCGTGAAAGTGTCAAGTTAGCAATGCAATCACACGGAATGAAGCCACCATAACATGCCCTCCATCTTCCACTCATCTGCACATAGATTTAGTGACCGTTTGCACTGGGACAGGTGAAGGGCCTACCGCAACCACTTTCTCAAAAAGCATGCTGGCAACCGGGTTTGAGTGGCCAAGCAATCATTAGCTGGCATAGCCTACCCGTCGCATCTAACGAGAGGGCGCGGTGTGGTGTGGTGCATACCCGGAGCACTTCAAGCACGAGGATGCGGTGCCAGAGAGGCAGGTCCTGGTCCACGCTCTTCACCAGCATCAGCAGAAACACCTGCTCGGGATAACAGGTGCTCGGGAAAAACGATGAGGCCGAGGGTTGGGAAGAACGATGAGGCCGAGCACACGGAAGAGAAGCAGCAATGAAAGAAGGGTCAACAAGTGCCATGGCTACAGGCCGCATGCGTGTCCCAGTGCCCTCACCTCGCACTCAGTGGTGAGCTGAGCGTGGTGCTGCCGCACGAGAGTGGCCACACAGCGCAGCACCAACCGCCGGTACCCTGGCTCGCCCACATCCCCCTCCTGATGTTGCCACGCCACCCCATGTACACGGAGAAAAGATTAGGTGATACGGCAATTGCTAGTGCTGCGACACGATATGCAGAAGCTTTCACACGATGGCACTCACCTCAGAGCCTGTGGAGCGCAGTGACGTCATCACGAGTGCACAGAGCTTGTGCTGCAGCACCTGGTGGGGCACACCAGAGGTGGAGAGGGAGCGAAGGGACAGGAACGTGGATGCAAGGGAAATTCGGAAACCAGGAAAAAAAATATTGTGGATTGAAGCTCGGGGCCCATATTGTGAGGCTCATTCATTAAGTTTACAACAGCAGTGCTCGATTGATTTGGAGTCATGCAACTGGAGTAGTGCGAAACGTTACTGGTAAACCTCCTGCAAATTTCCTGATTCAATCTTGTGCTCGTGCAATCCACGCGATTCGGAAAATAAGCTGCAGTGAGACAGGTAGAATGTTGTTGACTGATGATGCCTCACGAGTGGCGCAGCCCATGCATGGTAGCACGGCAGGGAGCATGGCTGACCTGCTGGTAGGGAGTGAGGCGGCGGAAGAGCGTGGCATAGTGCGACACGACGTACTCCAGCATCTCCAGGGCGAACGTGCGCTGCAGTGATGGCACGTGCAGCCACTGCGCCTGCCATGTGGGAAAGGTGCAGGAGAGTGGGGGCACAGGGCACACATATTCAAGTGGTTGCCACGAGATCAGCAGAAGAGAGGAAACTGCATCACTGCAATGCGCAAATCACATCTGATCTGACGCTAACATCCCTTTTCAAGCATATTTCCCTCCCAGCTCCCGCTCTACCAGCAGCCCCCCCCTCCCACCCGCCCCTTACGACGCTGCCCTGCTGAAGCTCCCTGCCCGGTGCGCACCTGTTGGCCCGCAGCGAGAGCGGCGAGGTCCTCGAGCAGGCGGAGGCCCATGCGGGCTGCGGGTGAGAGGTCGTCCACGCGCTCCTTGAGCACCACCGTCTCCAGCTCCTCTCCCCCCCCCCGCCCCGCCCCCTCGCCCTCCGTCGCCCTGCCACGGGTTCATGTGCCAGCATAAATGTTATGGCAAGTACTCTCAAATGGCATGCCAATGGTGCCCACCAGCGGGCTCACCTGGAGGCCATGACGATGCGGCTGATGTCACCCGGCTCGGAGGTGTTCCACACACGGTTGGCCTGGCGCGGGGCACATTGCACCGGCAGGCCCTCGCTGCTGGCAGCTCTGTCGAAGATGAGCGCTATGGCTTGCCGCAGCGTTGCTGTGGCCGTGCTGCCATGCACACATGCACGCACAGACACAATCACGCACACGTACACGCACATGCACGCGGGTTGGGTTGAGGGGGAGGGAGTGAATGTGCGAAGATAGAGTGCAGCAGCAGGGTCAGGACAACATTGCAAGCCCGTGGTTGCGACAGCATGCATTCAGAAGCCATACACACGAGCACACAAGAACATCCGTCTCCCTACCTGTGGACACAGTCCAGCTGCCGAGTGCTGCCTGCCAGGCGAAGGCAGATGCCAAGGATGATGGCCATGCTCTCCTGCACACATGGTGGGGAGATGGGCGCATGCATGGACGAAGTCGGTGGTGCACGCATGTGACTACAGACTTGACGAGAGCACTGTGTCAACCTTGTATGCAACATGCCGAGCTCCTGACCGTGTGCATGCATGCATGTCCCAGTGCTTGCATCCATGCCTTATGCTACTCGTTCTTCTCATCCGAATGCATCCGTGAAACACTTTTCACCAAGCATACAGACCCCACCTCGCCATGAGAGTGAGGGGTGGCAATGGCATGGCATAGCAGCGCACCTCATCTTTGGGGTGCAGCTGCGACTGCAGCACTGTCAGCACTGTCTGCAGCACCTTCAGCTGCACCGCCTCCTCTGACCCGTCCGCGTGCTGGGGAGGGCACGCAGGGGGGAGGAATGAACACACTAAGGCAAGACGAGGGCGTAGCAGATTGGAATGGACGACAGGTGCAGACAGGGCTGACTAGCGTTGCCAGCGAGCTGAAAGTGGATGCCTGCACCACAGCCGCATCAGTAATGTACGTCAACCAACCGTTCTACAGCCAGCACCGTGAATTCAATGCTCTGCACACCGTTGCCTGCATAGGTTTCAGGTTACTTGATATGTAAGGCAGACATCCTGATTTGCTGCAAGCTGTGCATTCCAATGTCAGCACTGCAAGCAATTTCAGTCAGGATTGATGCATGACTGTACCAAATGTCACTCGGATCAGAGTCAGTCAGGAGGACATATGTCATTGATGCATCACTGCAAGACATGCGGGTCAGAAAGCCAAATGCTAGCCAAATGAGATCATGAGATGCACCAGTGCAGGAACTTCCAGTCGAGGACTACAGCACACGCCAGTCAGGATACGCTGCATCAGTGTAAGCACCGTCAGTTGGATCTCTGCTGTAAATGTCAGTCAGTGCAAGAAATGACAGTCAGAATGTGGCGCATCACTGCAAGAGTGCGGGTCAAAGAGCTTTGCATCGTTGTGGAGTGATTAACGACTGGCTTGCATATCTGCAAACCGTGTGAATTAGGGAGCGCCGTGATTCACCTCTCTGAGCGTGGTCAATATATCAGGTAAGGCAGCAGGCGGCACTGCGTTGTTGGCCACCAGCTTCTGCACGCACGACAATCCCAAGGCGCACAGCCGCGGCTGCCTTGTGTCGCACGCCAGCAGGAAGATTCGCAATAATTCATCACTTCTTGAAATGGCTTCGGGACCTGCCAGAGAACGCAGCTGAGTAATGGCAAGGAGGGCGCAGCAGGAAAGGAAGCGGTTCATGTCAGTAAAAGACAAATGCCAGAGGCACAACATCTTAGCACAAAGAACTTCCTGAGCAGCCTCAGAAGCCAGCACGGGGAACACGACAGCTGGAAGTGAGAGCACTGGATCAGCTGAGCCAATCCATGCAGCACACCTTGAGGATTCCACGTTCCGCGGCGTCCTTCACGGCGGGGAATCGCCGGCGAGCCTCAGCGGAAATGGAGCGCAGGTCCGCCTCGAGCACCGCGTTGATCGTCATTGTGACTCGGCGACTGATCAGCCAGCACTGTGACTCCGGCTACACATGCATTGTGAGAGCGAACGCTGATCGCACGCGACGACCCATGAATAGAAACAAGATGTGATGGGCCCGCTCAATCTAACGAAGTTCGATTCAACGGCAGCGTGAAGCTAACAGGAAACCGATGCGCGAGCAATGCAAGAATGTATGAAGTAATTTGTTTAGCTGATAATCCTCAACTCAATACAGGATTCCACCCAAACTTCAGGTCAGAACCTAGGAATTCCCACTTCGCTGGTTTTGCGAGAAGTATTATACGCGGGCTGGAAGGGTTGCGACGTGCTTTCCCTAACTGATCACTGGCCGAGAAGTCCACCTAAGTGATACGGCAAGGCAAGGCAATCCCAAGCGAGCACCAGGCACCTTGGGAACTCATTACAAGACCTTGTCCGCTGTCACCACAGTAAGTTTTGCAAAATCCTCCAACCTGGAATAATATACAACATAATTTGCACTTTTCTGTGTTGTTGATTCAAAATCTTGCATTCAATGTCAAAATTAGAAGAAAGAAAGAGGAATGAACTAGCAGAAATGGGGATACAAATAGCAAACCCTAGAAGGGTTGTACTCGCTATAGAGCACCCCACTACAGGCTAGAGCATAAGAATAATATTCTGACACACCCCCATAGCCAAAGTGGGGTGTAATCAGCAGAGCAGGCAAAACAGTACAAGCTCAGGGTGGATCACAATGTCACCACGCATTCTGAGCACAAGGTCAAGAAGAAATAGTTCAAAGTTAACAATTATGAGCAAAGCTAGCAGTGGTCACAACGGGCAAGTGAGGAGGAGGAGGGAGAGTGAGAGGAGAGGAGATAGAAGGCGGCGGCTGAAGCTGCAGACACACGGGCAACAGGAGTGGCGAGCACAGTGGCTACCGGGACAGCGCCCCGGACTACGGGAGTAACAGGCCCCGCGGCTCAAGTAGCGGCAGACGGGCAACGGACCCACAGGCGACCGGCTCAGCGACAAGCTCACTGGGCTACCGGGACAGCGCCCCGGACTACAGGTGCTGCGGACGACAAACTGGCAACCTCCGCTCAACCTCCCACACACAGTCCCACCCCCCTCATACACACCCACTGCTACACTGCTAGCTCCACTCCCACGCACCCCCCTTAAACCCTAAACCCAGTCTCCCACACAACCACCCCCCTCAGCGACAGCTGCAGCAGTGGGAGACGAAGGAGGAGGAGGAGAAAGGGAGGAAGGCACACCGGCCACCCCCATACCTGCCACCCCACAGCTCGCCCCTCCCGTCGTCCGTCGAGGCGATCTGAGGGGGCCGCTTGCGGCCCCCTCAGGAGCCGCGACGGGCGACGGGAATTGGGGGGGAGGGGAGAAAAGGGGGGGGGGACGGGGCCGGGGCCGCGACGAGGGGCGGGGCCGCGACGGTCGGGGCGGGGCCGCGACGTAGGGCGGGGCCGCGACGTAGGGCGGGGCCGCGACATAGGGCGGGGCCGCAACGTTGGGCGGGGCCGCGAAGGAAGGGCGGGGCCTAGCCGGGCAGGCGCACGGGCGGCGACGGGCCGGGGCGGGGCCGCGACGAAGGGCGGGGCCGAGCCGGGCAGGCGCACGGGCGGCGACGGGCCGGGGCGGGGCCGCGACGTAGAGCGGGGCCGCGTCAAGGGGCGGGGCCGCGACGATCGGGGCGGGGCCGCGACGTAGGGGAGAAGCCCGCCGCGCGCCTCGGGGCGCACAGCGGGCAATGAACCGCCGCGCGCCTCGGGGCGCACGGCGGGCAGAAAACCGCCGCGCGCCTCGGGGCGCACGGCGGGAGGAAAAAGTAGCAGCGGAAGCAAGGTGGGGACACACCCACAGGATCGATCCAGGGGGATCGACCTGCTCTGATAGCATGTCAAAAGTTAGAAGACAGAAAGAGAAAGGAACTAGCAGAAATGGGGATACAAATAGCAAACCCTAGAAGGGTTGTACTCGCTATAGAGCACCCCACTACAGGCTAGAGCATAAGAATAATATTCTGACATTCAAGTGTTACCGTTGTCCTAAATTGTATTCAATGCTTCCCATTATAACAGATACTCATGGGTTTCTACATGCCCAAGCTTGATTTAATGCGATGAAAATTGCTGCTCATTTATAACGATTTCAAAAATAATTTCCTATTACGAATAGTAAAAGATGAAAAGTACTGTGCACTCCTGACAATAGCAAGCTAGACACACAGGAAGGAGTACGAAGACGAAAAGGCAAGATTACGAGAAAGGTCGCGTACGGTTACGAAGGATTTGGACTGTCAAGGCAGACAACATCGGACAACTGAAGTGGCGAGGATTCTGCGGGAACAGTTCGTAACCTTCTGGAGTCGCAAGGTTGGATTTCATTGTGATAAGGGAGCGTACCCCTTAGAGTACATGGCTGGTTAGGTCGTTTCGTATTCCCCAATACACATATTCATACGAATGTATTTGTATGCTTTTATCGTCCCAGTCTGGCCCTCAGATATCAGCGTAAAACACGCTGATTACGCTGATTTTGTAGCTGTGATTTTCGTTTTCCCTGAAAATTCAGCATATGCTTCAATTTTGCACTGAAATTTCAGTACATCCTACCTTGTCACACTGACCATTTTGCGTGTTTCTTTACAAGAAACACTGACGAATCAGTATAGTGACGTGAGTCACACTTAAACGGAGTTGACCGCGTGTGGGGGGGGGGGGGGGGTGGGGGGGGGGGGGGTGATAGGGTACGCATGTACAATCTGTACCCTTCCCGTGATTCCTGAGACCCCACCCACACACTTGGCATTTTTTCGCATGCACTGCACAGATATCAGGTGCGCGCCGAAGTGTTTAGCCTCGCTGGAACCTATCACAGCAACAACACCACACACCTTGTACTGGGGTTTCAGCTATAGTTTTTTGTCATTACACTGTTGGTTCAGTTTACTTATGATTTTTACACTGGCAAAATCAGTATAACAAAAAAACGTGGACGCTGATTTGGACACCTTCTTGGCCGGGGCACGCTGATCCATCAGCATACCCTCAAACCAATCTGAGGGCCTGGTCCCAGTCATTTTAAATCAGCTCTGAACACTCTATTATTGCAAACCTTCATGAGTAGATCCTAGGGACGATCAACTTCTGATCTCAACAATTTCAGTATAAGGTTTCTGGGGTGAGAACAGTTACGGGCTGGTTTTCCAAAAGCAACGTACGTAAAAAAAAAAAAAAAAAAAAAAAAAAAAGGAAAAACGAAACAAAACGGAAAAAAAAAAAAAAAAAACTTCAAGCATCCACAGAGTAATAAAGGTGATAAACGTTTGAGGTTTGGTTATGTTACGAATAGCAATGAAAGAAGATTACAGTGCACTACGGACCGCAACATGCAGTATCGAGAACAAATGTGAAGAGTCAGAATTGACTCGAAACGTCAGACGGTTGAGATGCATCTGGACCGTCGAAGCAGATGGCATCGGGCAGCTGCAGGCAGTAGGATTCTGGCGGGAACAGTTTTCGTAACTGTATGCGCCGCACGGTTGGGAATGAAATTGAATAAGGGGATGTACCCCTTAGAGTACATGGCTAGCTAGGTCGATTCATATTCCGCTGTACTCTTATCTATATCGTTGTATTTGCATGTTTTAATCATCTCAAGCATTTTACATTCACTCTGCTATTGAGGTCAAGGGCCCACCACTACTAGACTACAAGTGTGCGAACCTTCCAGAGGTGATCCTGGTTACGATCTATTTCTGATCGCAGCATGGTATGAGAGCGACTCGGGAATCTTTCCCACTGCCACTCCCGAAAATTACGACATTCGGAAAGTGGCGTCCGGCACACGCTCGCGTGTAAGAATGGCCAGAGGATCTGGTGGTCAGACCAATCTGACGGCTGAAGCGCAACCCAACCCCGTTGCGACAAGCGAGGAAACGACGGCGATCGGCACCGAAGTCCTCGCACAACTTCTTCAATGACTCACCAGCTTGGAGCAAGGGCTCCAAACATTGCGGAACGGCGACGCGGGAACATCCTCGCAACCTTCTTAACCAGCCCCTGTGAAAGAACGAGGAATGAAAATGACTAGGTGAAATGTGGGTACAAGTAGAAAACCTAGAAATGTTGTACCCTATAGTATCTACCCCACTACAGCCTAGATAGACCATAGCATATAAACTTGACACACCCCCATAGGCAAAGTGGGGGAGAACAAGAGGTCACAAGACCAGTCAAGCAAAGCACAGCAAGCTCAGGGTGGATCACAACGTCACCACACATTCCGAGCACAAGTTCAAGGCCACAAGGCCAATTCACATGCAAGATTCTATATAAAGGTAAACAAGCAATTGTAGGTATAGATAGATCACAGTACAAGCAAGGTCAAGAAGTGAGCAAGTGAGGCAAAGTAGGCACAAGACCTAGCATCGTACAAAAGCGCTGATGATCACAAGGCTGAAGTGCCTTGGTAAAGAAATCAACAGTGTTGGCCTGAGAGGCCACGTAAGCAAGGCGCAGCTGACCACGCTGTTGCAGCTCATGAGCAAGGAAGTAGCGAAGAGCAATGTGCTTCATTCTGTGCTCCAGTTTGTGCTCCCAACACAAGGCCAGCATGGCCGTGTTGTCTACGTACAGAACTGGAGGAGAACGAGGCGACTCTCCTAGGTCAGTCAGCACGTAGGCGAGCCAGCGTAGCTCCTGTGCAGCCATGGCCCCCGCGTAGATCTCAGCCTCACAGATGGAGCCAAGAACAGAGGACGAGTGGGTAGACCGCCACGAAACAGAGCCGGAACCAAGGCTGAAGGTGTAACCCTGTGACGACCGCTGCGTAGCCTGATCGTCAGCCCAAGAAGCGTCTGCGTGACCAGTGAGGACCACTGAACGCCGCCCTCCAAGCACGAGCCCCATGCCCGACGTACTACACAAGTAGAGCAACACCCTCTTCGCTGCACCCATGTGCTCTGGTCGGTGTCTCCCAGGAGCAACATAGCGTGCC